TTGGAGACAATGTCTTGCTAGGCTGCCAAGGCTGGCCTCATGCTTGTGGTGATCTTCCTACCTCCCCCTCCCCAGGTAGCTGGGATTACAACCATGCACCACTTCACTGCTTTACATTGGATTTACAGTGATGTGCATTTCTAACTTAGTTCAACCCTCATGGAAGGGGGGACAACTTTTTTTTTTTTTTTTTTTTTGGTGTAAGCACTTAGGTATTGGACAATTAGGTTAAGTCCTTGGTAAGTTTAATATTCCCTACCTTCAAACATCTCAGCATAAAAAGCCACCTGCCACCACCAAGCACCATGTTATAGGCCTATAATTCCAGCTACTAAAGTGGCTAAGGGCAGGAGGATTGGAAATGTGAGGCCAGCCTCAGCACATTACAGAGACCCTGTCTCAGAGAATCAAAAGGGTTGGGAATGTAGATCAGTTGTAAAGTGCCATGGGGTTCAGACCCCAGTACTGAAAGAAATAGCTGTCCCATAAATTTACCTAATCTAATCACTGCTTGTACTAAGAAAGCAAGGTTTACTAAGAGCCTCATCCAAGCATCCAGGAACTTCTTGCCCTATGGGGGTGGGGAGGCAGGTAGGGAGGGAAGAATTACTAGAAACCAACTTGTAGGAATGAAGGCTGTTAGTTGTCTGTCCTAACAAACTGCCAAATTATGTTAGTAGACTTGAATGGCCATCAAGAAGCAGAATTAAAATTAAGCTTCTGACTGTAGCTTCTGTGCACTCTCCAAAACACATTTCTCCAACATCATGAAAGAAAACCAAGGCACTAGAAAGCAAGCACACTTTAAGTATTTAAGATAATCAAATATTTATATTTTGGCTGAACTGTATATTGAAGCATACTAAAACCTATTCATTATTGGGGGGGGTCACAAATAAAAAAAAATTCTCCCATTTTTTTTTTTCAAACTGACAATGACTATTTCATCATCTCTCCTCAAAAATGTAGTCATAAATCAAGAGTTAGGTCTAGAAATCACACTGAAACTATGTTACATTTACAAATATTAAATTTATTATAACTAGAATGAATTTAATGGTTCTCAGATTTGGCCATCTTGTAGCTCCGCTTAAGGAGGGGATTTTTTTAAACAGAAAAATGCATTATAACTTGGTCAAATTACTTACACATTAAAAAAAAAATCCTTCTAAAGAGGAAAACAAGAAAAGCAACTCTTCAGTTTCACATAATTAAAGAACAGGAGAAAGCACGCAAGCTACATCATAGCTAAATTTACCAAACCAACCAAAGCCGGGGGGATTTTCTCTTCTGATTATGTGTCATAAAAAGGTCCGCTGTCTTATATACACATGTATATAATGTTACATTCCAGCACTGTAAAAAGTCCCCTTAGCCCCCCTCCCCGCAAGTTTCAGTCTAGTCTCCAAACTTGGAAAGTGGCGCACGCTCCTGCTGCCGGTGCAGTTCATTCTCGTTCAGCAGCTGGAGGTTCTCGGCGCGCAGTCGGTCCAGCTCCAGCTCCAGCTCCCGCACACGAGCGTCGTCACCCAGCCGCTTGCTTTCCAGCCGCAGCCGGTTGTTCTCGTCCTCCATGCGCGAGAGGCACTTCTCCAGCTCCAGGTACTCTTTGATGAGCTCCTGCTTACTCATATTCTGCAGGCTCTCCGCATGGTACCGCTCGTACGTCTCCGAGAAGTCCCGCTGCAGAAACTCGCTGCCATCCCCTCCCATCCCGTCGCTACCCCCGTCCTCTTCACCGGCTTCTTCCATAAAGTCCTCATCGCTAGTGTCGTCGGATTTGGCGGCGGTTCGTTTGGGGTAGAGCCCGGTTTTGAGATCTGGCTCCTCCTGGTCGTGGTCATCCATAAGGAACTGCGTGGTATTATAGGGCGCGACCGGCTGGCCCTTGGCGAACATCTCAGCTCGAATCCTGGAAGCTCGCAGACTCTGCTTCTCATCGAACTTTTTCTTCTCTTCCCAGGTCAGCTTGTAGTACGGTTTCCAATGCCGCTTTTTCTTGGAGGGGCGTCTCCTATGTTTCTTCTTGCCTAGCTGTCTCTGCTGTTGTCCCCACGCCTCCTCTCCCCCAACGGCAGAAGCCCCCAACTTGTTGGCCTCGTTGTCATGACACGGCTGGGCAAGCGCCTCGGACGTCGGTTCTCCTCCCGCCGGTGAGGAGACACCGCCAGCGGACATGTCGTCCCCATTTTGGCCCTTCTCGCCCACTTCCAGGAAGCTTGATTCTGGACAGGCCTGGGTCTGCAGGGGAGGAGGATGGGGCTCCAGACTCCCTTCCCTCTCTGGCCCAGGCCGGCCACCCGACTGGGGGGACGCTCTCGATTGCCACCTACCGTCCTCCGCGGGCACCCGCTCCTCCGCGCCTGGGGGGCTCTCAGGGTTCCGTTCTTCGTGGACAACAGCAGCACCTGTACAGTTGCTAGTTTGAGGCTGGTGTTGATATTCTGACAAGAGTGGTTCGGCCATGACTAGAAGAGTCCGCGAAGTTTGAGGAATTTTGTAAGTCCTTAAGGGAAAAAAAGGTTTATCTTTTCTTTTAAAATATGTCCAACAGTTCTCTTCGGTCTGTATTTTCTGCAGTGACGCCTTTAGCCAGTCCTTCTGTCAGCAAACTCCAATCCCAACTTGGGAGCTCAAGTCAGTAAAGGGTTAAGCGCCCACAGCGCGGCCAGCTAGCGGGTCCGAGGGGTGCAGCCCCAGGAACAGTACGTAACGTGCGGACTGGGTGGGCTTCAAACCTCCCCGCCGAATGCCCCCACGATCGAGGAGTTGGGCAAGAAGATGAGATAAAGTCCAACGGGTTAAGTTCAGCCCCGAAGGGGTTAAAACTACCCGATGACGCTTTCTCCGAGGGGCCGAATCCACAAAGGGTTAAATCCCCTGCCGCAGAGCCCACAAGGGGTTAAAGTCCCAGAGCCACCTCCTCCCACTTCCACGGGTGTCGCTCCAGCCCGAGCTCCCAGTTCCCTAGGCCCGGCCGGAGCCTTAGCCGAGGACAGACAAACTCATCTCCCCTTTGGCTCGATGCTCTGCTCAGCTCAATTCTCCTCCGCCTCCTCCTCTTTTCCTCCCTCCCTCCTCCCCTTTCAGACAGCTCCTCTTCCGCCTCCTTCCCCGACTTCCCCTCCCAACCTGCCTTTCCACCTGCCAACTTCCAACTGCTGCCTCCCAGCCCTCTGCGCCCCTTTTATATAGAAGTCTGTTCGTCCCCCCCAAGCGCATGCGTAACGGAGTACCCATCACTGAATGCCGGGAGTCGTAGTTTCCATCTTTCAGGCCCGCCATCCTCGCGCGCCGTGCGACGTAGCCAATCCCAGATCACGCAGGAGGCGTCTCCCAGGCCGCCTCCTTCCATCGCTTAGCCCTTGCTAGAGAAACCCGAGTGACCATTGGTCAAGAGTCGCTTGTCTCACCAAGGAAGGAAGGCCAATCGCAGAGGACATGGGGCGGGTTCTGGACCATACCATTCTGCTTCAGGAATACAAGAAGATTCCATGGTCTTTGGGAGCCCACACAGAATATTTTTATGAAAAGATGCGTTTTAAAGACTACTATCGTATTCTGTTATCAGCGGAAGGGTTCCGACAATGATAAACATTTGTTAATTAAAGTAAAAAATGGTTTATCCCTAAAAAGTAGTCCCTAAAGTGTAAAAGAGGAGAAATCCTGTAAAGAAAGATGCTGGCCACAACTACAAACTCTCGATTCATAAAACTACAGCAATGGCTTAAAGGTGGGTTGTTGGTGCCTGGGCCGGACATTTGCGGAAGGATATAGTCAACATGTTTTTGTAAAAAAAAAAAAAAAAAAAAAAACGTAAAAGCGCATGAAGAAGTAAACAAATGAAGAATAAAAAAGTGCCGCCTTAAAGAGACAGTATGACCGCCCTCTCGTGAAGCAGCCTCAGACGAGGCCTCGGGAGAGAAGAGAGCGGGTTCGAGTCCCGGGTGACGTCGATCCCTGACTACCTCGGGAACCCTTGGGTGAAGGTGGCCGAGTTCCAACCCCTGCCTGGTCTCTGAGATCCGTCTTCGCCCCAGGGGCCAATGCAAAATGGAGATCGGCGACCGAGCCTCTCCCGGGGCCGGATCTAAAGCGCTGGGTGGGGGTGAAGGACTCGCCCTCGGATCTCGGCTCCTGTCGAAGAAAATGGCCTCCTGGGGCTGATTTGGTCTCTTCACTTCCGAGACCTAAAACATTTCCTCAGCTAGGTCAGGGGAAGCTGGGTCATCTAATGAGCATCATTCTTGAGAAGGGGTTCGAAATGAATGAGTTTAAATAAACAGTCTTGCGTTTCTAGAAGAGAAGGGGGGTGTCATCCACAAAGGTCCTCTCTTCTCAGTGGGTGCTGAACGAGAAGGAGGGAGGGAGGTAGGGAAGCAGGGCCAGAGGCTTCCCTAATGAGGAGGAGAGCCTTGCCCTGAAATGAGGATCCAGGACTGTGGGGGTAGATTCGTGGCCGCGGGGGTCGGGTGGGGGGATTCTCCAGTGAGAAGCATTCTCCCTGACGCAAAACTCTGTCCAAAGATCCGGGAGAGCCCTCCACGTTAATCACTTTGGCATAATCGCCACTTTCCCCCAGGCCACCCACCCAGTGACCCCTTCTTATTCCATAATAGCAATTCCTTACATTCCAAATGATGTAGATTGGATGAGGTTCTTTTAGGCACTGAACCGTTTGATCTCATCATAGCCCAGTGAGGTAGGCAGGGCAGGAATTATTGTTTCCATTTTAAAGAAATCTTTTAAAAATTGTGGAAATTAAGTGACTTGTCCAAGATCACCTGACAGCTAAGTGGCAGTTCTGGCTAAAGTGACCCCCATGCCGTTTTTCTTTCTGTCAGAAACAGAACTCCCTCCCCACACACACCTTTTGTTCCTCAAGAACTTTAGTTTGAGTTCCTTTTATTTCCAATAGCCTTCACCTAATGCAAACCCTTATTTCATCATTTGGTAGTTAAGAGGGCACAAAGATTAATAAAATGTCATACTTGCTTCAGGTTGTTCATGGACTGCCACCAAACCACAGTGAACCAAAATGGTAAGTAAAGAAAATCCCCATAAAGGCTTGTGAGCCAAGCTGTTTGTGAGTTGGCTCTTAAGATGAAGAATTTTCGTGCAAAGTGGCAGGAAGAGACTTTTTACTTTTTTTTTTCCCCCCCAGTATTTATTTTTTTTTTTAGCTTTTAGGTGGACACAATATCATTATTTTATTTTTATGTGCTGCTGAGGATCAAACCCAGTGCCTCATGCATGCCAGGCAAGCGCGCTACTACTTGAGCCATATTCCCAGCCCGAACGATTTCACTTTTTTTTTTTTTTTTTTTTTATTTCTTAGTTCTCGGCGGACACAACATCTTTGTCGGTATGTGGTGCTGAGGATCGAACCCGGGTCGCACGCATGCCAGGCAAGCGAGCTACCGCTTGAGCCACATCCCCAGCCCACGATTTCACTTTTTATTATTATTTTTTGAGAGGGGATCTCGCTGTTTCCAAGACTGGTCTGGAACTTCTGGGCTTAAGCCATTCTCCTTCAACCTCCTGAGTAGTTGGAACTATGGGCCTGTGCCCCCACCCCTGGCCAGAAGGGCGTTTTATGAGGAGTAGGCCTCCTATGAGAAGCAGAGTATTGTCTAGGAGCATGAAGTGGTTGGTAGGGCGGTAGTAATGGGCATGTTCAGTGCAGACTGCCTCCAAAGAAAAAGAAGCAGAAGTGACTCTGGGACGTTTCCAGGTGTTTTGGAAATTACCACCCCAGCTTTGTGTGGGCTTCAAGTAAATCAAGTCTATCTGAAAAGCCTTCCCTCCTCTGAATTTTTCTTTCTTTCTTTTTTTTTTTGGTACCAGGGATTGAACTCAAGGGCATTTGACCACTGAACCACATCCCAGCCCTATTTTGTACTTTATTTAGAGACAGGGTCTCACTGAGTTGCTTAGGGCCTTGCTTCTACTGAGGCTGGCTTTGAACTCATAATCCTCCTGTCTCAGCCGCTGGGATTACGGGCTTGCCCCACCGTTCCCGGCCTGAATTTATCTATCCCTTAGGAGGCTCTTATAGACCAAGAATCCAGAAGGAAGGGTCTTGGTAGAGAATTTCACTAGGAGAGTCAAAAGCCCTTCAAACTTTTACTATATTTTTAGGCTTCAGAGAATTGAGGCTGAACCTAGCCTCAGTTTCCTAGATGGTTCAGCTATAAGGTCTCATTTGTCGTACTGGGGGAGAGGTGATCAGACTCATACAGTGTGAAATTCTGCTATGAAACAAGGGGCCAGGCACCTCAATATTGACTGAATTCCATTCCTTTGTCAGACATTTTATCTGGTCAATCATTGTTAAACCCCACTGTTAAACTCAGCCTTGCCTTTTGATGAAGGGATCATTCCTGTTTCACAAACAAGGAAACCCAGGCTCAGAGCAGTTAAGAATCTTGCCCAGGTTCACAGAGGCAGCATGCAAGGGGAGGACTGCATCCTCCCTGCAACCCATCACCAGTTTAGTCTTTCTCCAGCTGCCCTGCTGCTGTTCATCTTTATCAATGGAGGCCAAAGAGTGACAGTGGCTTCCAGTGGGGCAAATGATGGCCAAGCTTGGGGCAGTGGACAGGGGCTGAGGGAGCTCAGAAGTCTAAGGGACTCTAGCCAAGGGCCTTCAAGATTGCTTCTTACTCAAGAACAGAAAGGTCCTGGGACCCAAGTGGTGGCAGCTGCTGGAGGTCAATGCTGCTACAGTCCTCCATGACTCTGAACCCTGTCCAGGCACCAGAAGGCACTTGGAGTGGCCAGGTCGAGATCAAATACGGGCTGGTAGCTGGAGCCAGGGAGGCCCAGCAGGGAAGACCGGGCAGGCACGGACCAGAGGGAGGCTTAGTAAAAAAAAAGTTACAAAAGTTCAGAAGCCAAGCGGTCCCTAAGGTCTAAGCAGGAGCTAGGCCTACCTTAATAGGTCTTGTCCCCGTCCCCGCATTCAGCGGAGAACAGGGGCGGGGCTCCCGCTGGACATTGGCCTTCCAGAAAGTTCTCTTGGAAGATGGGAGGTATGTTGAGGAGAGGGCCGCGGGCAGAGCGAGAAGCCGCCGCTCTCCCCTTCAGACAGGGCCCCAAACTCGGGCCCTCCTTGTCACACCCCGCCCCCTTGCTCTGCCAGGACCGGCCCTACCAGCCCCTTGTGCCTGGACGGGCGGGAAGGCAGGGCGCTGGGAGCCAGGGCGCGGCCGCCCGCCGGGGGCCTGTTTTCCCTCGGTTTGCCCGGGGAGGAGGGAAAACAGTCCTCATTCAGAAACTAGCCGCGGGCCTCTGGGGCGGTCCACGGGGCACTGGAGGAGGAGCCTGCCGGGGACCTGTGCCTCGCGCACCGAGCCCCTTCCCGCTCCCTTCGTGGGGTCCCAGACTGCAGAAGATTGAGGTTTTATTTTATTTAGTGAAACATTCATTCGTAAAAGAATCTTCTGTGAAGACGTCCTGAGCGGTGTGTCGGGCGGCTGTACAGGGAAGCAAGCAAGATCGGCGCTCCCCGCCCTCCCCGGGCCTGCGCACTCCTCCACCTCCCAGCCAATCCGTCTTCCAGGGCCTGGCCCAAGTCCCAACTTGCCCAAGAGCTGAGCCGCCTCTGGGAGAAGCCTGGAGTCAAGTGACCCAGAGGGTGGGGCCGGAGGGGCTGAGACCTGGCAGCCCCGCTCTGCTCACAGCCACCCGAAAATGTGGGGATGAGCACCTAGTCTGCAGCCTTCCAGGACAGCGTGAGGTGGGTGGAAGGAGAGTCTGTGTGACCTGCTGGGAAGGGTGGGGTCTTATCGGGCCCCTATTGGGTAAGGGGGTGCCAAGGCAAACGCGGATGGGAGGGGATTGCTAATGCTTTTCTCCTAAAACGTGGGAGACTCAGGGCACAGCAGGACAGGAGTTCAAAGCCCTCTGGGTTGACTAGAGGCCCCTTGCTGAAGTCACCTCTTCTGGATCCGAAACTGCCGGAACAGCCACTGGACGACGAAGGGCCACAGGAGGAGGAAGAGCAGCGTGGGAGCCGAGAGCCTGAGAGGCCAAGGCCGAGCCCTGGGCCTGGGCCTCTGCTGTCAAGAGGGAAGGAGTCAGAGGCCATCCTAGGCTCAGCACAGCCCTCCTTAGGAACCTGCTTCCAGAACTCACAGAGAATCCTGCCTCCCCAAGATTGGGAAGATCTTACCCCCAAGTCTGAACCACTAGCTGGCAGTGTCCCTGACTCCTTGAGACCCAACTTCCTCCCACATCTTCCAGGCCCAGATGCCAGAACAGGCTGGAGGGAGGGACTGGCTCCTCTGGGCCACACTGCAATGACCCTGTTATTAGGACCAGAAAACCCTGTATTGTAAAGGATGTGCCACATATTTTAAACAAGGACCTGATGTTAGTTTGTAAATGTTCTCTTCCAGCCGGGCCTATGGTGCACACCTGTAATCCTAGCTACTGGAGGCTGAGGCAGCAGCAAGTTCGAGGCCAGCCTCAGCAACTTAGCCAAGCCCCAAGAAATTTTAAAAGATCTGTCTCAAAAGGGCTGGGGATGTAGCTCAGTGGTAAAGCGCCCCTGGGTTCAATCCCCAGCACATAAATAAATAAATAAATAAATAATTTAAAATCATCTTCTAGAAAGAGCCAGAGCTCCTTGGAGAAGTGGCAGATTCTAGGACTGGGACAGTGAAAGGAGCTGGTGGGGAGTGTGTGGGGTCTCTTGTACCAGAAAGCCAGGTAGCTTCTAAAAATGAAGGAGGTCATGTTCTAAGAAGGTAAGACCTGGCTTGCAAGGATCTCCACTGCCAGACTGGAGACAATCTGGGCATCAAAAAGAATGATCATTACACTTGATTGGGATACTGAGTCTTTAAAAATCAGGAGTCCATAATCAAAAGAGAAAACTAACTGGGATGGGGAATCACACACTTGTGACTTGGAGGCTGAGGTAGGAGAATTGAAAGTTTGAGTCCAGTCTCAGCAATTTAGTGAGACCCTGTATCAAAATAAAAAGGACTGGCGTGTAGCTCAGTAGTAGAGGGGTGCCCTGGGTTCACTCTCCAGTACTGTAAAAAAAATTCAAATAAGAAAAGCTAGAAGTTTATCACCATTGAGGAGACTACTTTTAAGTCAACTCCTTACTTTAAAAATAGATAATTAAGGGCTGGAGGTTACAGCTCAGTGGCAGAGTGCTTGCTTAGCATGCTTAAAGCCTTTTCAATCCTTAGTACCCCCCCCACCAAATAATAATAAGGTCTTGGGTTCTATGCCAGGTGTCATATGCACAAACAATAAGAAGAAAGAATTAAGAACTTAATCTGCTTTTCCATAAGGGATTGTATTTCAAGAAAACCCAAGATAAACAGGGAAACCCTACAGAAATTTTTCATCTAATAAAAGTTACAGGAATAGAATTTTAAAATCAATTATTTTGCAATCACTAATTAAATAATTGATTCAGGCAAAGATAATCAATTGTTGACAAAAACTGTGTGGCAAATGCTGAGGAACCAGATATTTCCTGGATTCAAGTGGAAAACTTGACTTTACATAGGTGGAGTGAGATCTTCACCCCTTCTTTTATGCCAGCAGACCTTGCTAGAATCTCTAGTAGTAAACATCCAGGTATCAAATGTCCTCTGATGTGAAGAACATCACCTCTGGTCCAAAATCTTTAACCTGACCCTAACTCAGTTTCTTATTTCTAATATCCAGTTCACAGGAAACACCTCGTATAGAGGATACATTTCCTTCCCAAGCCTGATCAGCAAGCCAGTAGCATGGGAATGCACTGGTCTAGATTAAAGGACACTTAGAATAGAGATGCTTAGCAGCAGAGCGCTTTTCTACCATGCTCAAAGCCCTGGGTTCAATCCTCAGTACCCGCCCCCAAATAATAAGAATAAGAATAATATAATCACTTAAAAGACAGAAGAACTGGGTGCAGGTTATAGTCCTGGACTGAGCAAAGAGCAGCTGGAAAAAGCAGTTTTAGGACAACTGGAGAACTCTGAATTTGAATGCGGTATTTGATGAGTTAAGGAATTAGTTGTGTGTGATAAAATGTTTTGGCAAGGTAGTAGAATGTTTTTGAGAGATGTAAATCCAAGTATTTTGAGGTGAAACATCATGATGTCTATAATCTACTCTAAAATCCTTGGCATTTTAAATTGGCAAAAAGTAGAAAAGTAAAAGAAAAGAAAGAATGCCCTGTGGGGGGAGGGGTGGTTCTGAAAGTCAGCCATTAAGAAGGGATGTTGAAATCCCTGTTGTAATGGCTCACACCCACCATGCTCAGTGGGTTAGGGGTCACCCCAGAGTCCCCACATGCAGCCAACCCTCTTCTGCTCTAGCCACCCCAGGCTTCTCAAGAACAGACCATGCATACCTGGGCCTGGTGGTGCATACCTGTAATCCCAGAGATTTAGGAGGCTGAGGCAAGAGGATATCAAGTTCAAGGCCAGCCTCAGCAACTCAACATGGCCCTAAGCAACTTAGGGAGGAAACCCTGTCTCAAGGGGAAAAAAAGAAAATTTGGGGGACATATCTCTGTGGTTAAAAACCAAAAAAACAACAACAACAACAAAAAATACCTACTGGGTTTTCAATCCCCAACACATCCCTCCAAAAATAAAAATAAAACAACCAGACCATTCAGAATGCTGGGTACCAGCATAAAAGGGGAGACCAACTTGAGGCTATGCCCAACTCCATCCTAAATGTTAATAATAACTGTAATAACAATGGACTGCACTGGAGGAGGCCTTGCTGGACACTGAGCACTGCAGAAGCACCTTTGTGCATCTCATTGAGGCTCTGTGCCCTCAGACAAGTTACTCAACCTCTCAGAGCCTTAGTTTCTCCATGTGTAAAAGGGAGATGAAAAGAAAACCTATTTCATGGGCTCACCATATGGATTCATTGACAGAATGCAGATATTGGCTGCTGGGGCTCCAGAAATGTTAGCAGTCATTTACTCAACATGGCTGAGCTGGATGGAGGATGCAGGACTGAATGAACTGTTTGGGGGTAAACCCTAAATCTGAGAATTAGAGTTTTGGCTGAGGGGCAACAGGGACCTCAGCCCCACTGCAAAGCTCAGATACCTCGTGGTCCTCCTAATTCTTGGTATTAGCCTCACCTGGGTTTCTTTCAGGCAGAGGTGGATAAGCAGGGAAGGGTCCTCTTCCCACTCTCCCTCCAGGATAGAAGTACTTTAGACCCCCTGACCTCCCTGCCTGCAACAGAAGCCACAGCATTCTTTGCACAGAGCTGTGGGCAGATGGAGGCATGGTGACAATGACAGAAATGGCTTGATGAGGAGCCCAGAGCAGAGACAAAGTTCAGTACCAATCTCGTCCCAATTCTTAAATAAGGGAGAGGGACCTCACCTGCTCAGGGGGCTGGGGCTTGCTTTCCAGGCTCTGCAGCCTCCCCTGGACATCCAGCATGTTCTCCTGCAGTGCCCGAACTGTCCCCACCAGCCATGTATCCAACTCCTGGGGCCCCAGCAGGGTGACCCCCAACCCTTCTGCAAAGCACAGAGACACAGGGAAGGGGACTCAGCTATGGTGCAGACTTGGGCAGGTTTGGGAAAGTGTCTAAGTAGAGCTGAATGCTTAGTCCCAAGTGTGCCTCTTGTAATGTCCTCATCCACAGGGCTGAGTACTGGGCTGTGGCGGGTGAAAGGATTGAATCCCACAATTTCCACTGATTAGCTGGAAGAATATGGGTAAATCTTTAACTTTGAGGAGTTTCATTTTGTCATCTGAAAGTTAGAAGGACTTGGGGGAGTGGCTCAGTAGTAGAGCGCTCCCCTAGCCCTCAAGGCAGCTTGCTCAGTGAAATAAAGGAAATATTTATGGACATGCTCCTTTGGGGATTTGGCACACAGGAAATTCTGAAAGGGAATAGGGCAGAATTCATCGTCTTTTGAGATTTCCAAAAGAGAATTTCAGAAAATTTTGGTGACTTCCCAAAGCCATGAAGCTGGCAGTGACAGAGCTGTCCTTTCTCAGCGACCTGCTGAGGGTATAGACTCTTGGGTGGCCTGCTGGTGAGGAGGCAGGGCAGGGGGTTGTCCACCCAGGCAGGCGTCTGTGGCTGTTTGGCAACTTTTGCTGGGCAGAGGCTGCTGTCCCCAGGACCAGCTCTAGACTTTTACCTTTGCCCTAAGAGTGAAGCCAAGGGAAGGCCTGGGGCCCCAGAACCCTGGGGAAGGGCAGAGGGGGTGAAAGGACAGCAGGAGCTCACCTTCCTCTCCAGGGGGCTCAAGACTGTTTCTGGTGTCAGGCTCTCCTCCAGCTGCTCCCCTCTGTTCTGCCCAAACCTGCTGAGATGAGTCACAGATCCAGGGGTGGAAGTGGAGAACCAGGGCACAGTGGGTGGGGAAGGGGAGGGAATGGAGGGTAGTCTCACCAACTCAGGTTCTAGCTGCTCCAGGGAATCACAGAAAACCTCCAAGTCCAGGTCTCTGGGTGGCTGGGACTCTGGGTAAGGGGAGGTAGGGTTATTGCCAAGAGGAAGGCCCTGGAGGGAAGGGAGGGGTGCAGAGCTGGGCAGAGACACCCATTCAGAAGATACCAGGAGTCCCGCCACAGCAGGCACTTAAGACCCCAGGAGTGAGCCCCTGGAACAGGCATCCCAGAGCCTGTCCCCTGGCCTTTGGAAATGTAGGGGGGCTCAGTGTCCATGGGCAAGAGCCATGAAGGTCACAGCATGGCATGCCTCCCAGCCTGCTCTCCTCCACCCCTCCTAGAGGTGGCCACCACCAGGCTGGGTTTAGTCCTTTGTGCCTCCTGCCCAAGCACTAACCTGAGTATGGGGGTGCTGGCTGCTTGGGATGGCAGGGAGGTCCTGGGACAGCCCCATCATCACCATTCAGCACCTGCACTTTCCAGCCTGTTAGGACACAATATCCGGAGATGGGGCTGGGGAAAGGCTGGTACCGCTTAAGTGACATCAAGTCCCTCAGCCCCATTAGCTAGGAACACTGCTGGACACCCAGTCCATCAAGGGCACTGGCTGGGGTCCTTACAGGGACATCAACTGGGGCCCTCGGTGTCCAGCACCTCCCTTCCCAGCCCCCTTAGCCTAGACCTAAGACAGTTCACTTGAACTTTTGGAGCTCCCATGCTCGGGATCTGACCTGTGACCCTTCTCAGGAAGCTTTCTGGGGGCCTCGGCATGTCTGGGATCACCTGGTACAGGGGCTCGAAGTAACCAAACATATCCTCTGCCACCTCGCCCAGTGGCACGGTGTCGATTACCTGTGGGGGAGGGGCTCTCATGGAGAAGAGTTGGCCCTTCCCACCTCTGCTCCCTCTGTCCTCTTTCAGTGGGCCCCTTCCCCCTTACTATGCACTGGCATACACTTCTACCTTGCACCCTGTAAGACACAGGGACAACAGGAAGGTGGTGATTCCCAAGTTGGTATCAATGTGTAGGAGACATGATGGAGATCAGCACCAGAAGGGTGAGGGGCAGGCCACCGATCTGGAAGCTTGGGGACAGAGCCATAGCCCTTCATACCTTCTGTGCCACCAGTTTCATCTCAGTGATGTAGGCGGACATGGCCTCCTCCCTGCTCATCTTGCCCAGGCTGTTCCAGGCATCCCTGGAGGGTGCGGGGAGGGGTAGAGGGCTGTGAAAAGGCTGGTTAACAGCTGAACTGAAGTTGCTGGGCAGGTGAGGAGCTCACCACTTATATCGTCCAATGGGGTCCCAGAATCCAGGCCTTGGGACCAGGCAGGGCCCCATGGTAGCTTGCTTGTAGTAGCTATAGAATCGCAGCATCTCTTCGTAGGACGGGCGGTAAGAACCTGGGTACAGGATTGGGAAGTGGAGAACACAACATCACCTCCAGCTCCAAGAGAATAGAGGGAAAGGGGGAACACCCCTGGAGAGGGCAGAGATGGTGAGGGGTCCCATCCATCTGGACAAGGACAGGAAGTAGCGGGGAACATCAGGATAGTCCAGGTAGGAACTTGTGTGAAAACACTGCAAGGATCTTCCTCACTAATTTCTTAGAGTCTTACCCCAGCATCCTGAACCCCAAAGCGCTGGTCCCCGCAGCCTCACCATTCTTAGGAAGGTTCTGAATGACGCTGACCGCAGCCTGGAACTGTTTCTGGTAGTCTGGCTCTGGGCTTTCATTCTTGGTGCCCATGCTTCTCCAAGCCCTGGGGCCCTACTTTGGGGCGACTCTGCAAGAAGACCCTCGGTGTGAGCAAGCCTCAAGATCCAGGAGCCACGGATCCATTCCCAGAGGAGCGTAACTAGGGTCTTTAGAGGCCTGAGAGAGAGCTGTGAAGTCAGAAATTGCGGCTGAGCAGGCTCATTTTCCCTACCTCAAGGCAGTAGGGGTGGGGTCGATGTGGTGAGGACCTCAATAAGTGAGTGGAGAACCAGGTGCCAAGGGTTCCAGAACTGACATGTCCCAGATGCGCTTTTCTAGGTGCACATCTCCAGCTCCTGGACAGGCGAATGAGCGAACGAAGGATCAGGGCAGGGCGAACAGCCTCGGACCAGGGGCCCCCATAGCCCGGCCCGGCACTCACCCCGCGACTCCCAATGCCGGGACACCTCTCTCGCCACTAAGTGTAGGCTTCCGACTGACCTCGGGGTGCAGTCTGGCTGGGATGGGAACGCACTGCAAGAGGGTAAATTCAAGCCAATGAGAGGCACCGTTTCACATTCAGTTTCTATACACTAACCACTCAGAACGGCCCTTTCAAGATTATGTAAATAGCGTGGTGGTGCTTGTACCAATCAGGCGGGGATAATCTACGTGTTGGACTCCCAAACCCGACAGCCAGAGGCGAGCTGCGGCGCCCCCCTGTGGACATAGTGAATAGTCGTGGGGTCATTGCGCCCCCTCGTGGAAATTGACTCCCGCTGGTTTTTGCCCACCCCGCTATAGGAGTCGTCCAACTCAGATTTTCGGATACTTGGGCGCTGGGGAATGAGAAATAGAGTCTTGTTTTGAGCCACGAGTTCTGGAGGAGAGACATCGGAGCTGAATTTTGGAAGATTTGAGAGTGACCCAAGAGAATTACGAGGATGGTACTCTTGGAAGAAGGGCTCCAAAGATCAAAAAGTACAAAAGTGAAGACTTGATATTCAGAAAGAAAATTCAAGGCTCCACAGGGGTGGGGACTCAAGTCAGTATGCAAAATCTCTGGATTGAAAATATCTGAGAATGGGGAACAATAGGTGGCAGATCTAGGTCCCGAAAACAGCGGTTTTCTGTGTGGGAGGCCCTGCGGTGGGCAACTGCCCAGTGGCGGGTTTGTGCCTGGCTCTGCCCTGACCCAGGACACCTGCTGCGGACAACGCAGCCATCAGGACATCCCACCCTTCTCGCTTATAAGCACACACCTGACACGGCCACCAGAATCTGCACGTGGACGTTGCCCACGAGTTGGTGTCAAGGACATTCACACAGCGTGAGGCGGACCAAGGAGCCCCAGGCTGGGGTGTCAACCCGTTCAAGCTTCGAACCCCAGAACCAGTTCCCAATTTCTCGACTTGGTGCTTCCTCACTCTCCAGATCAGTCAGTTTCGGGACTTCCACCACTGAGGGTCTGCACTGGCCCGGCACCTGGAGGTTAATTCAGTGATGTCACTGCCAAGGCCTCCCTGTCCCCGCCCTTCGGGTTCGCTCTGCCGCGCGGCTCCGCTCGGTTCTCGAGTTCTGCGGGGTTTCCCGGCCCGAAGACCCTTAACCGAGGACAGTCCTCGCAGAGACCGGTCCCTTGCCTGGCTCCCTCCCGAGTCCTCCTGGTGGAACCGATGAGAGAGGGCGGGATGGGTTCCTGCGTCCTCTTGGAGTCAAGGGTCCCCGGAAAGGAGAGGGTGTTTGTGCGGGAGGACAGCCCTCGCCCCTCTAGTGCCCCCCCCCCGCCATGTAGGCTCTGACCACGGATGGGGCGGAGATCCGAAGATCGCACGGGAAAGGGGAGGGGACTCACGACCAAACGCGGAGACTCGGGGGGACCGCACAGCTCCGGGCCTGGGGTCCCGCGGCCGGCTCGCGCCTCCCCTGCGCAGTCCTCGCTCCGCCCCTGCCCCGCCACCTTGTCCCTCCCTCTTTCCCTCCTCCCAAGGTCTCCTCCTCCCGACTCTCCCGGCGCCGCTAAGTTTCTTGGCTCGGGACCGCGCAGAGAGCCGGGGCCGGGCACGAGCGGTGTCGCCGCTGGTGTGTCCCCGAGCGCAGACCCCGGGCCCGGCCCCGGCCCCACCACGCCATGCTGTGCGGCTACTGGAGGAGGTGCCGCCGCCTGCCTGAGGAGCCTCCGGTGCCTGCTCAGGTCTCCGCGCCCCTCACGCTCCAGCCCTCGCCAGCGTCTCCGGACGGCGGCACCAAGAGGCCCGGTCTGCGGGCGCTGAAAAAGATGGGTCAGTGACACGCAGCGGGAGTTCAGGGGGGGGCTCCGGGAGGAGCGGGATGTTCCGGGCAGTCACTTCTGGGATTCCCAGGCGGCATGGGGCTGGGAAGCAATGGTGAAGATTGCATGCTCCGTCTCAACTGGGGGTCGCACCTGGGGTCACCCGAGGTTCCCTGGCAGAGCCAGGCATCCAGGATGTCCGCGCCACCAGGAGGCGCCCGCGGGGCGTGTCACCAGAGTGTGAATTTGGGCCTGGGACGAGGATGGGGTTCCAGGGGACAGGGAAGTGGAGGGGGAGATAAAGGCTTGGAGTGTCCTTCACCCGGCTCTCTTCTATGGGTTCCCAGGACATCCAAGGTTCTTGGCGGCCCTTGGGAAGGATGAGATATCTGAGGCCGGTTCATTGAAAGAGAGTGGCCTCCCAAGAGAACTCCAACTCCAGCGACACAGTACTGGCAGGGCTGTCAGAAAGCCCAAGTTCCCAGCTCAGACTTAAGGGAAGTCACTAGCTCGGAAGGAATGTAACTGGCATATTAAGCATGTCTCAGAAACAGCCAGACACAGGGTGACTTACACATGCAATCATACAATCCTGGGCACCTTCCGGAGAGGTAGGAGGTGTAATCCTCACCTCACAGGTGAGGAAACTGACTCAGAGAGGTCAAGGAATTTGGGATCACATAGTGAATGAAGGGCACCCAGGCTGTGCTCCAGCACACCACTGGCACCCTCAGAGTATGGGTGAAGTGAGACTTATTGGGGTGAGGGCTTTGAATAATAATGGAGGAATAGATGAGAGCATTTTATAAAAGTAAAGTACCTTACTAGAGAACTGCCATTGGTAGCAGTTGGTGACAGAGGGATCAGGCATAGAACTAGGGAAAGACAGGGCAGAAAAACAGGGCTGCCCAGAAACACCGGGGCCAATCTTCAGGCAGAATTCAGATGTCCCAGTTACCAACCTTGCCTTCCCTCCACCACTGCGCCCTTCTCTCACTCATTCCACCTGAATTTATTGGGCACAGACTATGATCTGAACACTGTGCTTTATTTGCCAAGACCTGCCCTACGCTCCCATCAATAATGCACGTGTCCAGCATTTATTGTGTGCTCTGTCCCTAGAGAGCTGAGCACATCAGCAAACAGGTCAGATAGTGGAAGTAAGAATGAGACCCAGAAAGGAGTGGGGTAAATGTAATGTCAGGGAGCCAGTGAGGGCCCTGCTACACCCCAAAGCTGGAGGGCGATTGGAATGGAAAAGGGAGAAGCAGGTGGGGGGGCTATTCACAACTTCTCCCTGTAGAGTTATAGACCCTATTCGGAAGGCAGTAGGAACCCCAGAAAGTTCTCGAGCAGGAGTTATATGGCAGTGGGTAGAGAAAGCCAGAGCGGAACAAGGGGACCCATAGGAGGATGGCGGAGGAGTAGCTGGGGAAAGGTGTCGGAGCTCAGACTTGGGCTAGTGCAGGGGTGTGGGTAGACAAGGGGGCTCTGTGATGTGCTGTCTGGAAGGCGTCTCTGGTTAGGTGGTACCATTCTCTGGGCTAAGAAGCAGTGTGATTTGGGGATAAGGCATGGCCATGGTAAGGGGATCCACTGCCAAGACAGCCAAGGTTTTTATTTGTTTGGTTGGTTGGTTTTGGTACCAGGGATTGAACCCAGGGGTGGTTAACCACTGAACCACATCTCCAGCTCTTTTGATATCTTATTTAGAGACAGGGTCTCACCAAATTACTCAGGACCATGCTAAGTTGCTGAGGCTGGCTTTGAACTTGTGATCCTCCTGCCTCAACCTCCTGAGCCACTGGGGTTACAGGCATGTGCCAGTGTGCCCTCCAAGGGCTATCAAGGAGCCAAAGAAGTGGAGTCAGCCCCTGATGGGGGTATGGATGCCAAGGGAAAATATAGTTGAGGCCACTGCACACCTGGCTGCCTCTGTCCATCAGTAGGCCAGGTGCTGGCCATGGCTGCAGCAGTGGTTGACAGAGACTTGCCAACTGGGGAGCTTGGATGCTAGTGGATGCATGATTTTTTTTTTATAAGTTTTTTTTTTTTTTTTAAAGAGAGAGTGGGGAGAGAGAGAGAATTTTTAATATTTATTTTTTAGTTTTTTAGTTCTCGGCGGACACAACACCTTTGTTGGTATGTGGTGCTGGGGATCGAACCCGGGCCGCACGCATGCCAGGCGAGCGCGCTACCGCTTGAGCCACATCCCCAGCCCCTATAAGTTTTTTTTAAAGAGAGTGAGAGAGGGAGAGAGAGAAAGAGAGAATTTTAATATTTATTTTTTAGTTATTGGCGAACACAACATCTTTGTTTGTATGTGGTGCTGAGAATCTAACCTGGGCCGCACGCATGCCAGGCGAGCGCGCTACCGCTTGAGCCACATCCCCAGCCCGTGGATGCATAATTATTAGCCTAACTCGGCACCCAACATCTGAGTAAGGCTGCCCAGGCGCTCTGGGCACCTCACAAGGGTGACACTGTCAGGAACTATGTTGAGAATTGGAATGTCATCTTGGCCACCCTCCCTCTCACACTGGTTCATCCTGCTGAGTGACTGCTGAGTGATCCCTGAGAGGAATGTAGGTCTGTAGGGACAGCCCTTATCAAACCCCACTGAGCCCAAGGACAGGGTGGAGACAAGACCCAGGTGTCCTGGGGCTTAGTGCTTCAGGCCATGGGGGACCAAGGCCTAGGCCTACCACACAAGTAGCTTCCACTACCACCAGAGCCTCTGCCCCTCCCAAGAAGAGCCTACACCCTGCTCTTCCAGGGCCTTCACCACACCCCTTAGGCTAAGACAACTGATCTTACTTCAGATCAGGTCAGGGAACTAGGGCAGGGAGCGGTTCAGAGGGACCCAAGGGAAAGAACATTTCTTCGGACCACACAAGGGAGAATGAAGCTAACCGGGGAGGACTCCCCTCCTCCCCAGTGGGAGCATCCCCAGCCCAGGGCTGAGCCCTGGCTTGGCCAGGAATATGCAGAGGTGGGAAGACAGCCCAGGGAACCCCCTGCTGGTGATCCCACTTAGTCCTCTGACATCCCTGTGGGAAAGTGCGCTTCCTGGTGACAAGTGAGAAACTTGAAATGGGAAGGGGTGAAGCCCCCACCCAAGACTGCGCAGTTAAGAGCGTCTGCCTGTGCCCCACCTGGGTACCATGGTGCTCTCTGTTATCAAATGAACAAATATTAATTGACACCAGGTGCTCCTGGAGTATTAATCACCTTTGCTCATAATCACATGAGGTAGGCGGTACCCAGAGCCTCCTTTTACAAATAAGAAAGCTGAGGCTCAGAGAGGTTCTATAACTCACCCAGGTTCAAAGCTGGGTGTAGCTGAGAGATTTGAACCCCGGTCCAGGCTCCTAAGACAATTGAAAGAGAAGCTTCCACCTGGCGAGGGCCTGCTGCTGCTCTCTCCAAGGTGGCCGGCCAACCTCCAGAGGTCCTCCTAGGTTTTTTGTTTTCCTTTGTGGTGCTGAAGGTGCAACCAGGGCCTCACACATGCTAGGCAAGTGCTCTACCACTGAGCTACACCCCAGCCCTATGGGACATGCTTATACTAAAAAAGCATTCGTCGTTTTCCTGAAATTCACATTTAACTGCTGCCCTGAGTTTTATCCAGCAGTCCCAGCTCCCCATAGCCCTGTCTGCGCCTGTGCCCTGATGCTCCGCCCTGACCCCTAATCCTCCCAGCAGGCAGAGGACTGAGTAGGCACAATCCTGTTCAGTCCTCTCCATGCCTGCACCCACCCCTGGGCTCTCCCGATGGCCCATCTAGGACGTCTCCTGCAGGGTGAGTGGGACTGTCATTGGTGGGGTTGGCAAGTGGGGGTCTCCACAGTGACCCCCATCCCTGGCAGGTGCTGGCTTGGTGGTGGAGAGGGCTGGGTAGCCCTCCAGGCTAAACAGGGACATCCTAAGCATGGGTTGGCTTTCTCATGTCCTGTGGCCCCCTCACCTTTTCCCTGCCCCCAGTCTCGCCTCTGTCACCAACAGGCTTCATGCCTCTTCTGGCCCCACCGGGAAGGTGCTGCTACCTCCATGTACCTGGCATGGTCAGGGGGCGCACCACCCACCCTTCCTGCCTTTGTTTATTCTTCCAAGAATGCTGTGGACGCGGGTGTTCCCTGCCTCCAGCCTGGGTGTGGCTGCCAGCTGGAGTGAGGGGGACCCACTGTGCAAGGACTGCCTGCTGACTAAGGGGCCAAGGTGGGAAGGTGTTTGGGAACCTGTCCTTCTGCTTGTCCTCTCCCAGCATTTCCTGGGGCCGGGCACTAGGAAACGCTGCTCATTTCCTGCCCTTGGCCTTGGCACAAACTCTGTTCCCTGCATGTCTCGAATTCCTGCAGGAGCCCTGGGCACCCTTCCTGAGTATGCACTGGCTCTCACACACACACTGCCTATTTCCCTCCCCAACATTTCCCCCATACACACACCCCTATTTGCACAGACCCTGACAGGAGACCAACCCCTCCTTACACACCCTGCCCTCTGCATACCACCCCTATTACACACCCAGAACAACACAATGCCCCTGCTACTTCCCCAGACCTATGCTGGCCTGCCAGCACCCTACACGGCCACCTCTGCACCCACCCTGGCCTTAGATGACCTGCAATATTTTCAAGTGCACAGCTTGCCCTCTCTGAGCTTCAGTGGCTCTCCTAAGACTGC